CCAGCTGTGAAACTCAGAAACCAGTCTTACTTGATATCATCTGTCGTCCACCTGGGCCTTACACAGAGTTTCTGTCTGATTTCTCAGACTTTTTATCTGATTTAGTTCTCAGCTCAGATAAAATAATTGTTGTGGGTGATTTTAACATCCATGTAGATGCTAAAAGTGACAGCCTCAACATGGCATTTAATCTGTTATTAGACTCAATTGGCTTCTCTCAAAATGTAAAAGAACCCACCCACCACTTTAATCACACTCTAGACCTTGTTTTAACATATGGCATAGAAACTGAACATTTAACAGTGTTTCCTGAAAACCCTCTCCTGTCTGATCATTTCCTGATAACATTTACATTTACAATAATTGATTACACAGCGGTGGAGAGACTTTATCAAAGTAGATGTCTTTCTGAAAGCGCTGTAACTAAGTTTAAGAATATAATCCACCCACTGTTATCATCTTCAATGCCCTGTACCAACATAGAGCAGAGCAGCTATCTGAACGCTGCTCCAACAGAGGTCGATCATCTTGTTAATAATTTCACCTCCTCACTACGTACGACTCTGGATACTGTAGCTCCAGTGAAAACTAAGGTCTCTAATCAGAAGTACCTGACTCCGTGGTATAATTCTCAAACACGTACCCTAAAGCAGATGACTCGTAATCTGGAGAGGAAATGGCGTGTCACAAATCTAGAGGATCATCATTTAGCCTGGAGAAAAAGTTTGCTGCTTTATAAGAAAGCCCTCCGCAAAGCCAGAACATCTTACTATTCGTCACTGATTGAAGAAAATAAGAACAACCCCAGGTTTCTCTTCAGCTCTGTAGCCAGGCTGAAAAAAGTCAGAGCTCTGTTGAGCCAACCATCCCTTTAACGTTAACTAGTAATGACTTCATGAACTTCTTCACTAATAAAATTCTTATCATTAGAGAAAAAATTACCAGTAATCATCCCACAGATGTAATATTATCTACAGCTACTCTTAGTACCATTGATGTTAAGTTAGACTCTTTTTCTCTAATTGATCTTTCTGAGTTAACTTCAATAATTTCTTCCTCCAAACCATCAACGTGTCTTTTAGACCCCATTCCTACAAAACTGCTCAAAGAAGTCCTGCCATTAATTAATGCTTCAATCTTAAATATGATCAACCTATCTCTAATGATCGGCTATGTACCACAGGCCTTCAAGCTGGCTGTAGTTAAACCTTTACTCAAAAAGCATCTCTAGACCCAGCAGTCTTAGCTAATTACAGGCCAATCTCCAACCTTCCTTTCATATCAAACATCCTTGAAAGAGTAGTTGTCAAACAGCTAACAGATCATCTGCAGAGGAATGGTTTATTTGAAGAGTTTCAGACAGGTTTCAGAGCTCATCACAGCACAGAAACAGCTTTAGTGAAGGTTACAAATGATCTTCTTATGGCCTCTGACAGTGGACTCATCTCTGTGCTTGTCCTGCTAGACCTCAGTGCAGCGTTCGATACTGTCGACCATAATATCCTATTAGAGCGATTAGAACATGCTGTAGGTATTACAGGTACTGCACTGCAGTGGTTTGTATCATATATATCTAATAGACTCCAGTTTGTGCATGTAAATGGAGAGTCCTCTTCACACACTGAGGTTAATTATGGAGTTCCACAGGGTTCAGTGCTAGGACCAATTCTGTTTACATTATACATGCTTCCCTTAGGCAGTATCATTAGAAGACATAGCATACATTTACACTGCTATGCAGATGACACCCAGCTCTATCTGTCCATGAAGCCAGATAACACACACCAATGAGTTAAACTGCAGGAATGTCTTAAAGACATAAAGACCTGGATGGCCGCTAACTTTCTGCTTCTTCATTCAGATCAAACTGAGGTTATTGTACTCGGCCCTGGAAATCTTAGAAATATGGTATCTAACCAGATTCTTACCCTGGATGGCATTACCTTGGCCTCCAGTAACGCTGTGAGGAACCTTGGAGTCATTTTTGACCAGGACATGTCCTTCAACGCACATATTAAACAAATATGTAAGACTGCGTTCTTCCATTTGCGCAACATCTCTAAAGTTAGAAATATCCTGTCTCAGAGTGACGCTGAAAAACTAGTTCATGCATTTATTACCTCCAGGCTGGACGACTGTAATTCATTATTATCAGGATGTCCAAAAAACTCCCTGAAAAGCCTTCAGCTGATCCAAAATGCTGCAGCAAGAGTCCTGACAGGGACTAGAAAGAGAGAGCATATTTCTCCTGTTTTGGCTTCCTGTTAAATCCAGAATTCAAAATCCTGCTCCTCACATACAAGGTCTTAAATAATCAGGCCCCATCTTATCTTAATGACCTTGTAGTACCATATCACCCTATTAGAGCACTTCGCTCTCGCTCTGCAGGCCTACTTGTTGTTCCTAGAGTATTTAAAAGCAGAGCCTTCAGTTTTCAGGCCCCTCTTCTGTGGAACCAGCTTCCAGTTTGGATTCAGGAGACAGACACTATCTCTACTTTCAAGATTAGGCTTCAAACTTTCCTTTTTGCTAAAGCATATAGTTAGGGCTGGACCAGGTGACCCTGAATCCTCCCTTAGTTATGCTGCAATAGATGTAGGCTGCCGGGGATTCCCATGATGCATTGCGTTTTTCCTTTCCAGTCACCTTTCTCACTATAAGTTAATAGTTCTCTCTGCATTGAACACATTTTAATGACCAAATGAGCAGGGTGTTGCCTGCTCATTTGTTTTCTTGCATGTATTGGTTTTTTGTTTTTTCCCAACATGTGCCTTTAGTAAAAATTTCTTACATTAAAAGAAGATGGAAATGGCCTCCCATCTCATTGTACATAGCAACTTGCATTTGAAGTATGCGTGAAGTAAAATAATTTATTTGAAAATAATAAAGCATACCTCAAACATGCATTGTGAAAAATGTCAAAACCTTTTTGTTGTTTTTATTTATAGCCTGTACCACATTTAATGGCAAATGTTGATCCAAACTGCATTAGAAACAGGCTTATTTACAATATAACAAAACAGTTTCAAAATACACAAAAACTAGTTGTATTAACTAATTATTGCTAAAAATAAAAGTCATTTGGTGGTCATTAAAATGTGTTCAGTGTTTGCAAATTGAGGATGATTAATTTCATAAATCGAAAAACTACCAAAAACTCCATATGGGAAGACAAAGCAGCACCACCATATATGCCTAATTTTTCATACAAGAAAATTTGATTTTATCATCGTTTTGGATTGGAGGCAAAGCTGGTGTGGCCATGAGAATCAAACTAGCAGTGATGGGCAAAGAGAGACTTTGTGAAACAACGAAACATTTAAAGCTAAAGTTGTATCCAGGTTTCCCAAATATCTGAAATCAATTTCCACAGTGACACCTACTGGCCAGTTTTGCTGTGTGAAGCAATGACACACACAAGCTAAGTCAAAGTCAAAGTAAACTTTATTGTCATCTCTGCTGTATCCAGTGCAGCATACAGAGAGACGAGATGACGAGCCTCCGGTTACATCAGTGCAAAACAAGCTAGATATAAAAAAAAAGAGAAGAAAATAATAAATATACGCTTAAGAGTTACAATTAGAATTTTCAGTTTACACAGGTGTGGTTTTTAAGCGTTGCATAATTCTAAAGAGGGCTAACCCCCCCCCCCCCCCCCCCCAAAAAAAAAAAAAAAACCAACAAAAAAAAACCAGGCTTTAAATAATAACGATTGACAGATGTTTTGGAGAAGCACCAAACAATGAGACTGTTAAAGAAAACGAACTGTGACTGTAATGAAAATGTGCATCAGAAATACTATTTTCTCCCGCTATTAGAGGCTGTTTCAGTCGCTTAGTAATTCAGTTGCACAAACACTGCTATATGTTTTGTGATAGAAAAAAAAAACAGTATTTCAGCTGTTAACTCCCGAACTTTGCAATCCTCAAAGAAATGGTTAACTGAAGCTTTCTGGTAGTTTCGTTAGGTTTGTTCCTCACACTGTTAAATAAAACTAGAAGCTGCCCTGTTGTTTTATTTTTTTGGTTTTATTGGTTTGGTCACAGTTTCTTCAAAGATAAATATTTAAATAGACAAGACTACATTTGCTTTCCTTCTAAATAACTAAAAGATCCGTTTCATTATGTTATGGTATGCTTATTCTGACCAATTACAACAGTCCATTTCACACTGGTCAATTCCTTTTTAAATCTGAATGGTGCAGAAGTGGCTCATCGGAGGATAAAGAAGCCTCCCCTCACTTTATTTGTCATTTCTGTTGCCGCGGATGCTGTACCAGACTCAGTCTGAGTTTCAGGTTTTGATTTCACCTACCTTTGTTTGTGAGATATTTACAACACATGTGTCAGTGACAATTAAAAAAGGAGGTGTATGTGAAGGTTAATGTGTCTTTTCTTGTATTGTCTTTAGGCTTTCACACTTTTTTCCAACAGTTTCTGGCTCAAGATGAAGTCGCTTAATGCAGCAAAATATTTTATATTTTCTGTTGAAAGTCGAGAAAAAGAGAATAGATGGGATAAAGAGCTGAAAATGATTTCCTGCTTTATTTTGCTCTTTGAAAGCACAGCAGGTTTCTATTACAGTAACTTAATGAATGTGCCGCTCTCGCTCTCTCCGCTGATCTGAGTTCGTTCCGCTCACCCAGCAGTTCGCCTCTTTTTCTCATTTGTACTAATTTGTGTAATTAAGTGGGCGGAAAGTCCACACTAGTTTTCACAACACGGCAAAAATGATAACGACACAGTTATTTACCCTTATGCATGCGCGTGTGCAAACAGTTGAGATGGTATTAAAACGTGAATTCAGTCATTCATGTCAAGGTAAGTCATCTGCTGAAAGCCTGGCTAAACGCACCAAAATCTGCGTTTAGCACCACGTCGCCACACGGTCACGTGATGCGGGTGTTTGACTCACACTTGGAAGTAGTGTTTAGAAACATCGGCGCTTAAGTAGCTCGACACACTGCAGAAACGTCAGCATCGAGTGTCTCATCCCAACGTACTACTGCAAAAAATAAATAAATACATAATAAAATAACCGCAGAAGTCGTTTCAACCAACAGACGTTTGGCATTTCATCAAGCAAGAGGTACGTTATTTATTTATTGTCTTTACAATACTCTTTTGTATTTATAAAGAGAAATCCATTGCAACGTGTCATTAAAGTCATACCCTTGTCTCCTAGATTCCTGTGTGACAGAAATGGCAAATCCAGCCAATTTAACCTATGGTAACTTCAGCTATGACTATTACTACGAGGATGAAATCTGTGATAAGAGTGGAGTGGTGATATTTGGATCCTTTGCCATTCCGATTTTCTCTGTTGTGATCACACTGAGCCTGGTCGGAAACATTCTTGTCCTCATAATCCTGGCTTTGTATGAAAAACTTAAATCTCTGACCAACATTTTCATCCTCAACTTGGCCATCTCTGACCTCGTCTTCACCATCGGTCTTCCTTTCTGGGCCATTTACCACGTCCAGGGATGGGTGTTTTCTGAAATTCTCTGCAAAGTTGTGACTTTTATCTTCTTCACTGGGTTTTACAGCAGCATTCTCTTCCTGACCATCATGACCATCTACAGATACCTGGCTGTGGTTCATCCTCTGTCTGACCTCAGCACACCGAAACACTCCATCGGGGTGTTTCTGTCTGTCCTGATTTGGATAATCAGCACTGGAGCAGCCATGCCCTCCCTCCTCTTCAGCTCAATCACCAAGGTCCACCACAAAGATAAAGAGTCACAGGGCTGTGAATATATTGATCCACTGTGGGAAACCATTGGTGTCATCCAACAGAATGGTTTCTTCCTAGTTGCTTTTGCAGTCATGACTTTTTGCTTCATAATAATTGTGAGAATCACAAGAACAAGATCTCACACAAGCAACAAAGCAGTCAAATTAGTCTTCTGCAGAGTTGCTCTATTCTTCAGTGCCTGGGTGCCGTACAATGTTGTAATCTTTTTGAGGGTCTTGCCTGCTCATGTGGTCCCGTCATTAGTTGAATGTGAAGCAAGCACCCAGCTTGACTATGCATTCTATGCTTGCAGGCTCATTGCTTTCTCCCACTGTTGCCTGAATCCCATCTGTTATGCATTTGTTGATGTGAAGTTTAGGAGTCATTTAAAGTTATTGCAGGTTAGAATGGAAAACCTCATATCACGTAGAACAATGTACTAGCTACTCAGTTGATTTTCTTGCATATGTTATTTGCCCTGTTAATTGTTTTTCTCTCCCAGTGTGCCTTTAGTAAAATTGCATATCTCATATCAAATTTATCTAATTACAAAAAAAAATAGGAACTGCTCCATGTGTCATATGTTGCACCCGGCAATCAATTTCAAGGCTTTTATCGTGTGTGTGTGTGCGTGTGTCACACAGTGTGAAGTAATTATTTGACCCTGTGTTGTTTTTATGATGTGGGGTTTATTAGTAAACTTAGTTATTGCATTTTGTATCCTTGTGTTTTGTTTCTTAGTGAAATTTCCGACTCATATCTCCCCAGTTAAGACAATGAGGTGCAGTTGCCCAGAAACTTTTTATATGACCGATGGTCATGTAGAAACATCTTTTCTGTAAAAAACAAAAAACAAAAACTGTTTGAATAGACATTATATAAAGTGAAAAACAATAATCTGCTGGAATACAATGAAAAGCACACAACAATTGGACAGAAAGGGACATGAATCGCTGTGTGACAGGCAGGAGATTGGACCCAAATGCTGGACTCATGGACAATGAAGGAGTGAACTAAAGAAGGCAGCTTTATTGAGGCTGCAAAAACTCAAGGGATGTAGTAGCAGCTTTGAAACTGAATCTCAGGCCATGACGGGACTAAAATACACAGTGGGGTGATCAAACAGGACACAGAAAGGAAACACAGCTGGGACTAATTGCACAGGATGAGACAAGGGAAGCAACACAGAATACAGACACGTACCTTCAAAGTAAAACAGGAAGCACACCAACAGAACTTACAGACTCAGAGACCCGATACTGACACAGTACACAGGGAACACAAGGACAGGGATAACTTCAGTGCAGGCACAGAGACACAGACACTAAACAGAGGGAGCACAGAAACCAGAACCTAAGTAATAGCAATTCCGAATAAGAATTTATCCATAACATAAGACACTCTTAATCCAAACAAAAACACTGATTCAACAGACTCAGGACCATGACACAAAGTTAGGTTGAGTCAACATTAGCTTTTCATTTGGTATTGTTATAATTTGTGATCTCATACTAATTTACCATGAAACAGTTTACGTTATTTCATGTTTAACCAATATAATTCTTTATTTTAATCATATATTTGTTTTTATCATATATATATACATAATATATTCTGTTATTATATCTGCTAAACCACTATCCACAAATATCTGTATTTTCTCAGTATTACAAAATTGTAAGACCATGGCCAAAATATCCTTTAGCTTGATGAGCTGAATCTCAGAGTCTAGGAAAAGTCAATATAATAGCACTGAAGTGGAAGTGATCTCAGCACTTTGTGGAGTCAAGTACGCATCCCTTTCTCAGGTCCAGGAAGTCTGTGGTATACAGTTAACCTTTGAAAGGTGATGCATCTCAAGATTTGCAGACTTCCTGTTCGAAAGAGTGTGGGAAAAAAAAGAGTCTTAAAAAGACTGTTGTTGTTGTAGCACTGCAGTTATTTTACTGTATTTTCATCCACAGAAAAAATAAATACATTTGCCACATCATCACACAGAACATTTTTTGATATCCGAAAAATACTTTTCATTTTCACCATAGAGAGGTAAAGCATTCAGCACATTTACTTCTTGTCCCTGAAAATAAACTGGCATCCAACCTATTGGTGACACATGGAAGAAATAAAGTGATTCTACATATTTTTGTGTGAGACAGACAATACGTGTGTCGGTTCAGACTCTAGAAATGTAGGAACACGTGAATGTAACCATCAAATGTTTACATATACCTTAGTTTGTTCTTTTGTTTGTTTTTACAGACATAATTTTATTACAAGTGTACATCGCTGAGGCAGCTCATCAAAAAGTCAAAAGGTAAATTAAAATGAGTGTGATGAAGCCGGGGGTTAGAGTTAGTCCTGAAATCCTGTGTAGGTCAGTCAATTATATCTATGACTTTAGAATAATAAATAAAATTACACAGATTTCCCTCAAATGATATCTAACTTTCCAGAAATATTCATTGATAAACACAAAAAACACAGAGTTTAGTAGCGTGTTTAACTAATGCATTAGACTACCAGTCATAAAAACAAGAAAACACAAATATTTTAGAAATCTGTAGCAAAAAAACTTGTTTAAAACTGAAAACTGTAAATAACAAACTTTTTAAACCCACATCTGAGCCTGATCATTGGACTTCTCTTAGAAATCAGAAACGATTCAAAAACTATTTCTTTTCCTGTTTAGACGTAGACACCAATTTAAGGTAAGGCCATAACCTGGTGAGCTGAGGTGTAATGCGAAGAATGATTAGGTATGTCTCTGAAGCACATGTATATGACTATATCCACTCACTTGATGAAGTTGGAGCTTGTTGGTTTCCCCCGTCACACACACACCCACATACATACATGGCATAACATGGCAACTAGCAAGTAGTTAGATATTTATATGTACTGTTTCGTTTTATCAGTAAAAAGGATTTGACAAATACACAAAACAGATCTACTGTTACAAAACTAAGAGCTTTTGTTCACTAAAACAGTAAAGGACTTTTAATTTGAAAATGAATATGAAGAAATACAAAGGGGCAGATATAATCATCACCTCAAGACATCTGGTGAGTGGGTCCATAGTGTAATGTTTAGCTCACTTAACTAACAAGTGAACCATCCACGGTTTGAGAATGGAAGGTGAGACAGATGGTTGTATTGTAACATTACGCCTGTGCTGCCCCAGCAGCTGTTGTAGTTTTGTGGTGATGCTATAACCTAATAATAAAGCAAATAATATAATTAAACAAATATCAAGATTCCATCCATCCATCCTGGAGCCCTGAATTGGGTTCATTTTTCTTATGAGAGAAAATGAGTAAACCCAAAGTATACATTTTCAAAATGTATTAATATAAAGGTTCAAGTTAATAACAGCACTGTGTCTCCTCCTTTGTTCAGCATGCCAAAAGGAAAAAGAGCACCGTACCCAAGCAGTAAACACTTTTATTATGAGACACAGAAACAGAATAGTAATATGAATGGTTAAAAGTCATGGTTCAGACTTGGCTTCTCCCCTTATTTGGAGCTGGGTCCGGCCCTTGGGTCATCTTAAATCTCCTGGAGCGGACATCTCCCCGTAATCAGAACAAAAACGACTCCTCCCTACTTTTGCAGTTTCTATGGAGATGTTTTCCTCTTGGCTGGCCTTTACCAAACACCTTAAATATCCTGTACCTTGCTGTGCCATCTACAGCGCAGCGCAGGAAGCATCCCCCAAACATTCCTAAGGCGGGGGCTTGTGTTGTATGGGTGTGGCATTTTGTTTCAAGACTCTATTCTACAGGGTGGGCCATTTCTATGGATACAGCGTAATAACATGGGAATGGTTGGTGATATTAAAGTCCTGTTTGTGGCACATTAGTATATGTGAGGGGGCAAACTCCTCAAGATGGGTGGTGACCATGGTGGCCATTTAGAAGTCGGCCATCTTGGATACAACTTTTGTTTTTTCAATAGGAAGAGGGCCATGTGACACATCAAACTTATTGGTAATGTCACAAGAAAAATAATGGTGTGCTTGGTTTCAACGTAACTTTATTCTTTCATGAGTTATTTACAAGTTTCTGACCACTTATAAAATGTGTTCAATGTGCTGCCCATTGTGTTGGATTGTCAATGCAACCCTCTTCTTCCACTCTTCACACACTAATAGCAACCCCACAGGAGAAATGCCAGCACAGGCATCCAGTATCCGTAGTTTCAGGTGCTGCACATCTCATATCTTCAGACCATAGACAATTGCCTTCAGATGACCCCAAAGATAAAAGTCTAAGGGGGTCAGATCGGGAGACCTTGGGGGCCATTCAACTGGCCCACGATGACCAATCCACTTTCCAGGAAACTGTTCATCTAGGAATGCTCGGACCTGGCACCCATAATGTGGTGGTGCACCATCCTGCTGGAAAATCTCAGGGAACGTGCCAGCGTCAGTGCATAAAGAGGGAAACACATCATCACGTAGCAATTTCAAATATCCAGTGGCCTTGAGGTTTCCATTGATGAAGAATGGACCCACTGTCGTTGTACCCCATATACCACACCAAACCATCACTTTTGTTGGTCCAACAGTCTTGGAGGGATCCATCCAATGTAGGTTAGTGTCAGACCAATAGCAGTGGTTTTGTTTGTTAACTTCACCATTCACATAAAAGTTTGCCTCATCACTGAACAAAATCTTCTGTGTGAACTGAGGGTCCTGTTCCAATTTTTGTTTTGCCCATTCTGCAAATTCTGTGCGCCGCTTTGGGTCATCCTCGTTGAGATGCTGCAGTAGCTGGAGTTTGTAAGAGTGCCATTTGTGAGTAGCTAATATCCGCCGAAGGGATGTTCGACTAGTGCCACTCTCCAGTGACATGCGGCGAGTGCTACGCTGTGGGCTCTTGCTGAATGAAGCTAGGACAGCCACTGATGTTTCTTCATTAGTGACAGTTTTCTTGCGTCCACATTTTGGCAAATCCAACACTGAACCAGTTTCACGAAACTTAGCAAGCAGTTTGCTGACTGTAGCATGGGAGATGGGTGGTCTCGTAGGGTGTCTTGCATTGAAATCTGCTGCAATGACCCGGTTACTGCGTTCACCAGATATCAACACAATTTCGATCCGCTCCTCACGTGTTAACCTCTTTGACATGTCAATGGCTGTGAACAAAGAGAAACTTGTAAGTAACTCATGAAAGAATAAAGTATAATACATATTTGTGTAATAAAAGATAGAATATTAATGTGTGATTAAAAAAGATGTGGCAATTATGAATATAAAATAATGAGGTATATAAGCATCAAAGATTAAAAAAAAAATTAGATAAAAATATAGAAACAGATAACTATTCATCCTTAAATTAGTATCATCAATTAACCTAATCCCATGCATGTCTCAGACTCTGGGAAGAAGCCACAGTTGAAGCTTATAAAGTTGGGGAAACCTGCAGTCTGCTGAGAGTGAATAAGTCTCTTGAATGAGTGACAAAACATTTCTCCCACTAAAAACACTAATGTTTTCTCTGCAACACAAAAAAATAACCTCTTTTGATGAAAAAAATATTCACTTTTATTGTTAAAATGACACGCACAACACCTGCAATGTTGTTGTTGCTGCAGAGCTCATTTGTCGTGCTCAAAGGTGATACCTGGTGGAAGTTGAGCAGAAACAAGACATTTTAAAATAAAATGGTAACCCTTGAGGCTAGCTTACATGATTTTTTTTAAGTGATTATTTTGCAAGAAGCATGTCTTGCATGTAAAGTATAATTAATTATTAATAATGCCAAAGTGAAAGAACATGTTAAACATACAGAAATGTAAAAAAGGATAATATAGAAAACATGAAAGCTTTGTTGCACTCAAGGGACACATGAAGTTTGAATATACTGTTGGAGCTCTGACAGGAGATTTGTTACAACTTGTTATATATTAAATATTAGATAGTAAGTCAAAATAATAGGAAATTTTGTGTGCGTGGCTGTCTCTAAAATAACTGTTTTAATGGGAAAATTACCAACATCTTGTTATGCTATCACAAAGAGGGACAAACTCTGAAGGGCCTACAGAACTGGGATGGTGATCATGAAGGACAATGAGAACCTTCTCACAGAACTTTGGTCTAAAAGGAATTTTTGCCTGATTCGAGTAAGACTGACTCATCATTTACAATTCAAGCAGTGGTTGCACTAAAGTCTAACAGTACAGTCAAAGTTCATTTCAAATATTCACAGTAGCCTTAAAGGTTATAGTCGAGACCCTGGAATGCTTTAATATAGTTTTAAAAATATGAACAGCAGATCAGTATCGGTTTCATGTTTATTTAGTCCTAACTTAGCTTTCATTTCCCCACATACTGAATAATGAGATGCTGTGATGGGTTTTATTGTTGTTGTTTTGAATGTGTATATGTATGAATCCGGGTTGATATGATTTGACTGATTTGTGTATGGCTTGGTGAACAGAAGACAATTTTCCATTGATGTGGAAACCACAACCACAGACTGATGAACTAATACTTGGGAGAGATTATAAGGAAAACACGAACCCTTAACAACTAAAATGAAAAAGAAAAGTATATAATATCAGGATTAAATGTCAACAGTGGGATTTTTGGTTTTCATCATTTTCCGTTGTTAAGATGCTCACAAGATGTGATACAAAGCTCTCTAAGGTTAAAAATTAGAAAAATGTTTCAGCATCTTCTTCAGACTCGTTGAAAGTTTAATTTGAGTAAGTACTCAATAGATGCTTTAAAGAAACTGGGTGAAAAGATTCCATAATTGTGGGGTTTGGGAGATCACAGTTGAAGGGGGCTATCTAAGGGAGTAAAATGTCCTGTCAGGCTACTGATCTTATCTTGAAAAAAGCTTAAAAAGTCATTGCGAGTTGGAGAAGAGATGATGTTTTTCACTGTATCGAAGAGAACCTTAGGGTTTCTTTTTCCTACTGCAGGTTATTTAGAGAAATAAGTGGCTCTTGCATCTTTCACTATGTCGTTAAAGGTAGATAATAGTTCTTTCAAGTGGAGCTTATAAACCTCAAGTTTTGTGGCTTTCCACTGGTGCTCAGTTTTACAGCAAATTAACCTAAAGCTGGGGATAGTTTCTGTGAACCAGGGTGGGGATTTAACAGTGCCACCTTTCCTGATTTCAAGAATTTTTAGACATTGTGAACTGAAGGAGGCCACATGCTGTTCCATATCATCAGTTTCAGGTAGATTATTATCAAATAATTCCAAATTCTTTCACCACAGAGTCAGTAATTAGTTGTAAATGCTTCACATGAACAAAGGGCACACAGGAAATAGAAATATATTTTTATTTTCCTTCTTTCTCTTCAGATCACAGATAAAGTAGAGATCAAATAAAAGACGTTTATGATCGCTTATAAAAATGTCCTCACGACAGACTGGTCTGATATCCAGAGCCGGTGACATAATCAGATGATTCTGTGAATCTGATTCTGTCACTAAATTAAATTTAATAATATGGAAATTAAAATCCCCTAGCAGCAGGATTCTTTCCAGCTTGATGGTGGACAATAAAAAGTCCCCAAACTCCACAAAGAAAATCCTAGCTAATCCAAGTGGTCTATAGATTAATATCAGATAGAAAAGGTTAGTGCTATTTGTCTTCTTCATCTGAATATCAAATTAGTTAAAAGAAGGAGTCTTCACTAGATGACATGTTTAAGGAGTTTCTAGCTATAACAGCCAGCCCATCTCTATGTTCTGAAAGTCACGGTGTGGTTAGACAAACACTTATAACTCAAGTATTAATAAATGGTGTAAACAGGAAGTGGAGCACTCACTCACAAGTTTCATCCACATGAAACTACAGCATGTGCTGCAAACTGAAACCTTTGTTTATGTCTGTGGTCCATTTGATGACTCACTCAGTTAAACTCTGCCAAGCTACAGAGATGCATTTATCAACTGCCTAGAAAATGATTAAACTTGCTGTAACTTCCTGTTTTTAGAGCCGTACTAATGCTCTTCTAGCAGCTACAATGTATATCTTCATTTGGACACATTTAAATAAAAGTAAAGAAATATTCATACTTGGTGTCAAACCTAATTTTAATGTTATTGATACAAAACAGTGTCTGTAAACATAATCTTGAAATGGACTTTTGAACTGTCAGGTTTCTTAAGAAGTGAGTCATAACTCCTGCTTAGTAAATGTTTGACTTCTTATGTGCTGAATAGATGTCAAGTCCTCGTTTCACAGCTGGAGACTTTAATTTTTAGTAAACAGAAGGACAGGTTACACCCAGTGGATGCTTTATTAGAGTCCTTGCTGTCTTAATTCTTTGTGAAACATACTGAACAAGGTGCGTGTAACAGAGACTTTGGTTCATATTAACATCATAGCCTTACGCAGTTGCTACACATTTGTCGTGATCTAAATCTCCCATTTCATCACATCCCCCAAAAAATAAATGAGTAAAATTTGAATTACAAGTTTGCAGCTCTCAGTATATTTAGATATCAATCTAAACATTTGTGAATGTTTTTTCTGTAACTGTAAATTTAAAACACAAGTGTGTGAAGATGAAAATTGAAAGTGAAATTTTAAAAATAAATTCTCACATTTACAGCGATCGTGGCTCAAGAGTTGGGAGTTCGCCTTGTAATCGGAAGGTTGCCGGTTCGAGCCCCGGCTTGGACAGCCTTGGTCGTTGTGTCCTTGGGCAAGACACTTCACCCGTTGCCTACTGGTGGTGGTCAGAGGGCCCGGTGGCGCCAGTGTCCGGCAGCCTCGCCTCTGTCAGTGCGCCCCAGGGTGGCTGTGGCTACAATGTAGCTTGCCATCACCAGTGTGTGAATGGGTGGATGACTGGATATGTAAAGCGCTTTGGGGTCCTTAGGGACTAGTAAAAGCGCTATATAAATACAGGCCATTTACAACATTTTTACCTTCACAAAGGTTCTCTAGTGGATCTAGATTTCTGTTTAAAAGACACTATAACTGCATAAAAGTATTGCCAGGAATAACACAAATCATGGCACTGCATCTGGCTGTCTTGAAAATTAAATATTCATTGCAACTAAATTATTTAGAGAAAAAATATTAATGGCTTTTTCAGGCAGAGGTTTGATTGTGACACTCTGTGACAGTATTTAGCAGTATTTGTAGCATATATGAGAAAACGAGGTCACTTCTGTTTGTAAGAGAACTGCAGGTTGTGACATCAACTCAAACAGACATGGAAAGTCACAGCATCAACAACAATGGTATGTTGTGTCATCGCAGCTCATAGCTTCACCTCGAAACACTGCAGCAGGTTGTGGCATCACCCTAAAGAGCAATGGGATCATCCCCAAACATAATGGCACCATTTTAAACACCCGTGGTATCATCTACAAATGCAGCGGCATGACCTCCACAGGCATCACCCACAAAATGTCGAGGATGTCATATCCACAGTCAGCAATGCCAAGGGATGTCACCCCCAAACACCGAGGCGAACACCGAGGCATGTTGTAGCATTTGAAGGCACCATCTCAAGTCACAGCTCAGTGTTCATTATGATCTCGACACACCCTTTCCAAAGAAATTCGACTGCACAATAATCACTTTTGATTGACCACTATTATGCTTCCACATCACAAACAAAATGCAATCTGTGTGTTTTTCTGCCCTTTGTTCATGTTTTACCACATCATGAAAAATACCTTTAGAGCAGCGGTCCCAACCCCCGGGCCTCGGACCGGTACCGGTCCGTGAGTCGTTTGGTACCAGGTCGCGAGAGTTGAGGCTCAGGTGTGAAATGTATAGTTTTCAGGGTTTTATCGGTTTTCAGCGTTATTTTGTTTTCGTTTTTATCGTTAACTCGGTTTTCCTGGGTCTTTTCACGTGTGTTATGAATAAATTTTCTTTTTTTCGGTACCGGTACTGGTTTTATTTTGTTTTATTTATCCGCGACACCTTAAAGGCCGGTCCATGAAAATATTGTCGGGCATAAACTGGTCCGTGGCGCAAAAAAGGTTGGAGACCGCTGCTTTAGATGGGTTATGATTTAAAGCACTGCTGTATTCCTGAAAATGCTTCGGTGTATGTTTGGGTTGTTATAAAGGAAATTTCATGCCAAACATTTTTTGATGTTTCTTTTTGTTTGTTCTTTCTTCTTGTGGATTAACTTTAAACTGGACGGCTGCTTGATCTGAGGTGTGGATCAAGAAGCTTCATGTACCTCAGATTGAAACCTGTATGGTCCTGTCTTTGTTCATGATTAACTATGAGTCACACTGATAATCATAATCTGGCTGACTCACATCTACAATGACAACATTTACATAGCTCAGATCCTTCATAATTTTCTGATTGGTTGTAGTACAATAGCACAATATATATGGACCCTAGACCAGTAGGGTCCACTAAAGACAATGGGACTGAATAACGTCAATCCAAAGCCTTACACATCACAGTATATCTGCTCACTGAGCCAGATTAATTGAACTAGTGATATGGATGGTGACACACACAGAGGAAGTAAGAGACTAGGAAAATAATCCAGGATATGTCTTTCATTTCACAAGTGAAGGGAAATGTGTTTTGTTTATCACAATGTTCCAGCTTCCTCAATTACAGCTGTAGCACCGCCCACTAACACACATTGCAACAACTGTAACTGTCCTGGAGGGTGGACTCATTTCTTCTGAGACATTTGCAGGGTTTCTTCTATTTCTCTTAGAGGGACTTTCAAAGAGGAGATATTTTTCTTTGTCAACTCAGATGTTCAGGTTTATTTTGATTCTCTTAGCTTTCTGATTCACATTATTAGATGTGGTGTGCAAACATTTACTTTAAGGTAAGAAACTGTTCTTACTCAGTTGTTTTTGTCAGTCTGTGTTTAATATTTGCCAGAGAAATGTTGAAATCCTTTTCAAGTTTATATGACTTACCATATATGACTTACTGTCTGGAGATATGGGGTAATGCATATAAAACGAACACTCTTCATATTTTCAAGTTACAAAAAAGAGCTATAAGAATTATAAACCAATCAAACTATATAGAACCAACTAACATTTTGTTTATTAATCTGAATACCCTGAAATTTTATGATTTAGTTGAATATAAAATGGCACAGATAATGTATAAAGCACAAAATAACTTGCTTTGCCCCAGTACTCAGAAGCTGTTCAAAGTCAGAGAGAGTCAATATGACTTAAGGGGAACAGATTTCTTTAAGAAAAACAAGATGAGGACAAATATAAAGCAGAGATGTGTTTCTGTTAGAGGAGTTAACCTGTGGAATAGTTATGACAGTGATTTAAAAAGGTGTAGTTCATTTTCCTTGTTTAAAAACATGTTTAAAAATAGAGTATTAGAAAAATATATAAATCAAGAATGAAAAGAACAAAAAGGAGAAAAAAAACAACAACCTCTTGATTCTTTACTTTGATGTAGTTACTTATCTAAGGTGGAAAGTTTTTTTTTCTTTGTTTTGTTTGTTTGTTTGTTTGTTTGTTTGTTTGTTTGTTTGTTTGTTTGTTTGTTTGTTTGTTTGTTTGTTTGGTTTGGTTTTTGCTTTGTTTTATTATTTTCTTCAAGCCCTGTGTACAGGAGCTGCATACAAAAAGATATTTTGTGAAAAGGGTTGGCGTAATAAGCAAATGCTTCAGCCAATACCTTTTGATTAGCCTTGTCTCATGCTTTCTTTCTTTATGGTAGATTTTTGTTCTGTTTTCACTGTTTTTTTTTTTTTGTTTTTTTTTCTCACTGTTTTCACTGAGATTTGAATTTGAATGCTAATCAATCAAATCAAATCAAATCAAATCAAATCAAAGTTTAATGGATAAAACTGAGAGCTCTCTAAAACGGCTTTCCCCCCTAATAGTTTTCCTAGAGAAATCCACATACACCTCATGCTGGCTCTGTCCACCAAAACTGCATTTGTAATCAAACAGTAGTTAAAAGGCGAAAAAGTTTTAACCTAACATTTATGTCCAGCAATGTGTCGGCTGCTCAATACTCGCAAATCTATGAATGACAATGACATTATACTCTCAAGCATCTTTAAAGCAAACACTTTCAGTGTAATCTGCCACTAGAAGTCTACATGCTGGAAGTATATGAATACTTGCAGAAGTAAATAAATATTTAGAGTGCCAATGGATGACCTGGGTATCACTGTGATATTTATTTGACAGATGTGGATGTGGATTCTGATTAGTCTTAACATCATCTCAAAGCTGCATGGGTATTCAGGGGGTTACTTCCCAGAAGCATGTGACTCAATGTTACCCGATCATAATGGTGCAGCTCCTCAAACCACAAACCCCCCCTTCATGGTTGAATATGTGCCCGGCAGCTATCCTGGAGAGCCTGTTACAGGTACAGGGAACGCTGTAGTTTTTATTTTGTTAAATTTGTTTATCACAGCAATGTCTGGTGTAATTATAATTTACATTTTTTTTACAAGTTATTACAATCTCTCTTCATTCTCTTTTTCCCAAATCTTTGCTCGGATGAATTTTTGAAACAATTTTCAAGTTTTGCTCAAGAGCGAGGAATCCACATATTTTAGAGGGTTTATGTTAGAGGCTCGAGAGGTTGCAGATGAAACACGTCTTACTGGAAGATTTGTTCTACTTGAGCCTGACAACACTCAACTCCTGACATGCGGTGTTTTGGAAGTAAGTAGTTGGAATTTGATTTATTGTTTTCATTTTTTGTAAATCTGAAGCTCTCTTATGTTTTGCCACTCTTCTCAGGATTCAGCTGTTAGTCACACACTTAATCACAGAAAAACTTTGATCCGAGTTAACTGGACTGCGACAGAAGCAGAGCAGGACATCATGTTCAGGTGACTTTAAAATTTCTGATATTCTATGGCTGACGTCCACGGTGAAAATCGAACCTGACCTGCTTCAGATTTCTGTAATATTACAATGCAACAGAAAATGAATTATATCAGCATTCATTCCCTTCTAACATATTTCAGAGCAACATTTCTTCAGCAAAGGGTAAAATTCTGGGAAAATGTGAATATCATCTTACCTCAGCGCACTACTACTACAACTACTACACCGGAAACAACTACTACACCGGAAACAGCTGCTACACCGGAAACAACTACTACACCGGAAACAGCTGCTACACCGGAAACAACTACTACACCAAGCACCACAAAGGGCAACACCAACATAGAAGAAGTAAGAACCCACAGGTGGATTTGATTTTGTAACACTGTACACAAAGTGACTCATTAACCTTGCAAGAGCTTTTTTTTGACAACACTGCTCCCTGTTTCTGATTTACTTTCAGCGAGCAGGTATTGCACTGATGTGTTTTGATTGTGTTTTGGTGGCAGAGATGAAAGTAAGTAGCATATTTAACGATACTCAAGACACGCACTAAATGCTATTCAGCCCCACCTTAAAAGAACAAAAAGAAATGTAATTGTGTTCTACTTCATGTCTTGTTAGGTAATATCCAATATAGGCAAAGTCTTACTGGCCAGTGAGGCTGTTTTTCATCATATAAATAAGGTAAGAGCTGGGGGCCTTTGGTGCTCACAGTGTTTTATTTTCTTCTTGTCCTGCATCTTTGTATTGCTTCCAAGAATTCTTTGAGTATGTAGTTAGTTTGAAAGCCGGGGGTTCACGGGGTGCTGGAACTTACCCCTGCTTTCATAGGGTAAAATATGGATTTTCAGGGCTTTCAAGGCTGTCTAACTTATTATATGCACTGTTGTTTTTATTTACATTTTGTAGGTGTGTAAGGTAGCAGGCAACGTCCTCTGTGTGGCTGTTGAAATCTCATCCCTGATCTTGTTTAGTATCGGTGATTCCTCCAAGGTGAGAACAACTGGTGGTGTAAAACCCGTCTCATTAACAACATCTGTTTAATTTTTCCCACATGTATTTTTAATGTGTGTGTTTATGTATTTTTTAGGTCATCTTCTTTGCTCTTGTGTGTGTGATGATAGTGATTAATTTCACTGGAACAGTAATTTTGTCTCTGGGGATTAGAAGTGGTCCTGAAAGGTACGTTTAACTTCACTTTGCATGTGCAAACATATCAACTGACATTTGTGCAAAATGTTTATTTCATTTTTCACGTTCTCTTCAAGAAGGAAGATTTGTGAATACGCTGCCAATGTTTGTTTTGTTATCCATAATATATTTACAAGTAAGAAAATTCTTATACTTGTAAATTTAAGAGTATTAACTTTACACCATCAAAAAAGAGTTTGGACTTTTTTGTGGAAGTAGTTGCCACTGCCTTTACATTGCTCTGATATTATTTCCATGTTTGTTTTGGGCCAGTTGCTGTCATATTTCTTGGTGTTATGGAGAATGAGTGCGGAAATAACGTGAGGGACTCTTGGCTTCTGAAAGTGATGATTGCTTTCACAGTATGGGATTTCCTGAATGTAATCTGGATTGTCATTTTGAGCAGTGAAAAACGAGGTGAATGCCTTGTGCCTGTCTGAATATAAAAATCTGCATCAGATACAGCATCAAATCTAATGAGGAATAATAATATTAGTATTTTTCTGTTACAGGCCATTTAGGAACGAGCGAGAGAAACAAGCAGCAAGTTCATGTCTGTTTTTCTCATTTCCAGAGGAGACTCAGAGATGTTGTTGTTAATATTGTGTCAGTAATCCTCTTCGCTGGAGCCATTTCTTTTTCTATAGCCATCATTGTTGGTATATTTACTTGTCAGAAACAATAGTTTTGTGGTTTGTTTGAATCACAATCAGATTTCTCTTACAGTTTATATATAGTATGGTTACATCACACTGATCATATCACACTGTTTACCTGCTGCTTCCTCATTTAATGCAAGTAGTGCTTGAGGGTCTTATTTATTGTATCTCGTAATTTTTCAATACACCAGGCAGACTACACAGACTGCATATTGCTTTAGCACACTACAGGGGCGATTCTAGGATCAGAGCTTTGGGGGTACTGAGCACCCAGAGAGCTGCCCAGCCAGGCAAGATAAACTTTACTCGTCACAGTGAGACTTCTTCCCTGTCTCTGTTAGTCCCTGCATCCCTAAATGTCTCCAGTTGTCCCGAGTTCTCTCTGACTGTCTCCTTGGTGCAGTTAAACCCCTGTTCCTCCCTGTCCTCATCGTCTGTTGTCTTCGTCTCTGTTATCAGTCATCATAATTTTACCATCTCTGTGCAAGTCTGCAAATTTCTTTATTAAATCATGAAATTCTTAAATTCATCAAGTCTCTCTGTGCCTGGGTCCTCGTCACAAAACATGACATCACTGTTTTGTACATTTTAACTCAATTTAATCCCCACATTTGTAAAAGAAAAGCAAAACACTTTTTTGAAATGTCTGTAACAAATCTGATAAAGGTTATTTAAATGCTGCAAAAGAAGAATGGATTGGAATAAAAAAAAATATCCTAACCTTAATTACTGGGGAGAATAATGAATGATGCTCACAGTGAGCAAAAAGTAAACTGAGTGTATTTTCTGGACAGAGATTCACTTTTAATGTGTGTGTATCATATAATACAGATACATAAAAAAATACACTCCAAAAATAGAAGAGTCCTTAAAATATTTTTATATTTTTAGTAGTGCGACAGACAAACAGCAAAAAAAACTAAATCTTTGGGCTAAAAACGCCCCTGGCACACTATATAGCTTGTTTTTCATTTTCAAGGGAAGTTTTCCTAACGTAGGTTAAATTAATTCTCATCAAAGTTAAGCAGTACTTCGAGGATGAAGTTAGATCCACCTGTGTATTGCCATTTCAAAGCCTTGCCGTGTCTTGGAGGCATTTTCTTGCAGTCAGATTAAGAAAAAAAGCCGAATGAAAAGCCACACAGAACAGACATTATTAGGCAGTATATATTTAACAGTGGAGAGAGAAGACAATTTCACATACCCGGGGCTTGACATCACACAGGACCTGTCACACAAACACTCTGAAGATGCTCAAGAACTTCTACTCACCATCCAGAGCCAAAGTGACCTTCCCAACACTGCATATCACATCACTGTACATGCACTCAATAACAAAATAATGTATTTCAATAATTTTTTTTACTGTTCACTGTAAATCTGCACACTGCTGATTTGCAAACCTTTTTAATTTCCATATTTAATTTGAGGTCATTCTTGTATTTTTAATGGTCGAGAATTGCACAGCAGTAAGCGTTTCACTGCATGTTGTACTGTGTATGATTGACAGGTTTGAAGGAGGGGTTGGGTGTATCCTTCGTGGTCCACCATATCTCAGAATTCATAGCGCGGCTCAGCCAATTCCAGTTTCCAACAATGGCGGCAGCTACTTAGTTTTAATATTACTCTGTCTGGATCACAAAAAAAAACCTCTTACGATATTTTCTTTTTTTTTTTTTTTTTTTTTACTTTGATTTTTATAGGTTATTTTGACATTGTGGACATACAGTAAAGAAAATAACAAACAGACATACATATAAACAAACAGAGTCTGGAGTTTACATATCTTTCTCCATTTATCACATTGCAGAGAAAAAAAAAAGAAAAGAAAACCTATTATGTTATTTCATTTGTGTCACTTCTGAATGTTTTCCACTTCCTCCATAGTCTGTCGTATTTACCTCCCATCAGTCTAATGTTGAGTGTTATTTTTTCCATCTCTGAGATATCCTCTACAATACTGATCCAATCCCGCTGGGTGGGAGGATCTGGATGTAACCACTTCTTTGTAATTGCTTTTTTTGTTGCGGCCAGAATTATTTTGACTAAATACACGTCCTCTTTTTGTATGTATTCTTTTATGTTTCCTAGATACATCACTTGGCAAGTATTTGGGAATGTATAACTCAAAATATTATCCATATTCATTTTTAAGTCTTCCCAATACTTTTTAATTTTAATGCATTTCCAGAATACATGAGAATGATCTGCTTCCATTTCTCCACACAATCTCCAACAATTTTGTAAACTTGAGGTCAGTTTGCTTTTTATTTTGGGTGTAATGAAAAAACGTGTCAAATTTTTCCAACAAAATTCCCTCCACAACGGCGAATTAGTTGTACTGTGTTGCAATTCACACATATTGAGCCATTCTTTCTCTGTTATTTTTATAGTCAGTTCAACTTCCCATTTCTTTTTAATATAGAGTGTTGAATCTTGTCTATTTTCTTCTAATGACCTATAGAAGGTGGAAATAGTTTTAAATTGTTTATTTTCATAGCAATCTTTTACTTTTCCGACAACCCCCAGTGGTTTCCCAAGCCAGTCAGATTTTATTTGTTTTGCGTAGTAGTCCCTAACTTGCAAATATCTAAAGAAATCTCTATTTTCCAATTTGTATTTGTTTTTTAGTTGTTGGAAACTCATTAGTCCTCCGTTTTTCATAAGGGTACAAACTGCTGTAATCCCTTTTAGTTCCCACTGTTTGAATGTTTGGTCCAATTGTCCTGCCTTGAAATTTTTATCATGTCTAAACCATCTGAGTATAAATAATTGTTCTTTTAACTGACATTTTTCTATTACTGTGTGCCATATGTCTAATGTAAATTTCACAATTTGATTCATTCCACTTTTATTCTTTGTCATTAAATGTTTGTCAGAGATAAAAATCTGAATGTTGTTTCCCTCGATTTCTTTCTCAATTTCCTTCCATCTTGCCTCATATTCTGGTCTACACCAACCAGCAAGTGGTCTGAGTTGGGCTGCATAGAAGTATTCCCTTAGGTTCGGCAAGGCCATCCCTCCCTTGCGCTTCGGGAGTTGCAGTGTTGTTAGTCTTATTCTGGGCTTCTTCCCACCCCAAATAAACCTTGATATCATCTTGTCCCATATTTTGAATTTTTTTTGAGATATAGGAAGTGGGAGTGACTGAAACATGTATAACAGTCTTGGGAGAACATTCATCTTTATTATTTGGATTCTTGAGTAGAAGTTTGTAGGTGTTGCCGACCACCGTTCTAGATCTTTTCTAATGTTGCCCTCCACCTGATTATAGTTTATGTCCGCCATATCTGATAATGATTTTGTCAAGGTTACGCCCAAATATTTCATGTTGTTCGAGTGCCAATTTAATTTGTATTCGTCTCTGATCTTTTGGGAGGGTATATAATTGAATGATAGAATTTGTGTTTTGGATACATTAATTTTATAGCCTGATAAGTATTCAAAGGTATGGAATAGTTGCATCAAAATTGGGAAGCACTTGACGATATTTTCAGGCCAGAATGTAGCTGTGTAAACTTCAAATAAATGCTCTTTTCATCAAGACCACTTGAGGAAGTGGAAGTGGAGCACTCACTCACAAGTTTCGTCCCCATGAAACTACAGCATGAGCTGCAAACTGATGTCTCATGATTCAGCAGTAAAATGGCTTTTCTTTTGTGGTATTTCACTTTGAGTTCAAAACAATAAACCCACTGCTGTGTAAAAGGTAGCCTTTGTTTATGTCTGTGGTCCATTTGGTGACTCACTCAGTTAAACTCGGCCAAGACACAGAGATGCATTTATCAACTGCTTAGAAAATGATTAAACTTGCTGTAACTTCCTGTTCTTAGAGCCGTACTAATGCTCTTCTAGCAGCTACAATGTATATCTTCATCTGGACACATTTAAATAAATGTAAAAACATATTCATACTTTGTGTCAAACCTAATTTTAATGTTATCGATACAAAACAGTGTCTGTAAACATAATCTTGAAATGGACTTTTGAACTGTCAGGTTTCTTAAGAAGTGAGTCGTAACTCCTGCTTAGTAAATGTTTGACTTCTTATGTGCTGAATAGATGTCAAGTCCTCGTTTCACAGCTGGAGACTTTAATTTTTAGTAAACAGAAGGACAGGTTACATCCAGTGGATGCTTTATTAGAGTCCTTGCTGTCTTAATTCTTTGTGATTTTGGTCCATATTAACATCATAGCCTCACGCAGTTGCTACACATTTATCATAATCTAAATTTCATTTCATCACATCCCCCCAAATATTTAATTTGAATTACCAGTTTGCAGCTCTCGGTATATTTGTGTAGATATCAATCTAAACATTTGTGGATGTTTTTTCTGTAACTGTAAATTTAAAACACAAGTGTGTGAAGATGAAAACTGAAAGTTCACTTTTCCCCCACACATTCTTGCATTTAGAACATTTTTACCTTCAAAGTCCTGGACTGGATCAGGATTTGGTAACTGTGGAGGCAATCTGAGTACAGTAAACAAGTTTGAGGTTAACAGCTTTGTTACATGGTGTGTTGTGTTTTTTAATGCAGGTGGCTACATTGTGGTCATAAACAGTTACAACACTCAGGTAGACTGTGGCATTTAAACAATGCTCAACAAGTGTTAAGACTCTAAAATATGCCAAGAATTATGTCGCCACCAACACCTTGACCGTTGAGAGAAAGAAGGATGGATCCATGCTCACACGTTGTCTATACCAAATTCTGACCCTACTGTCACAACATTACAATACACTCATCAGACCAGGCACCATTTTTACAGTCTAGTTGTCTGGTTTTGCTGAGCCTGTAAGAACTGTAGCCTCAGTTTCATATTTGTAGCTAACAGTAGTAGCCTAGCTCATTATTAACATAAACAATTAGACAATTCACTCCTCTATGTATCAAAATTATCTTTATTGATAATATTCAGGTGTTTATGAGTGCTCAGAATAACAAGAGGAATGAGATGTATGACAGGAAACAGCACAAACAAGTTCACATGTTGTCATGTGCGCTAGTATAAATGACTGGAGAAAGTTTTTACTCTAATTAAATACAGTGTATTCTTCATATGTGTTTAAGGCACAGTCTGGGACGAGCTAATCAGTATTTATCCAAAATATTTTTACAGATATAAACCACATTGCGAGTAGCTCACAATGTGAAGTGACAACATGTTCAAAAGACCATTTAATATCAAATCCACATATACACAGCTTTAAAAAAATACCTCAATCCAGGAAACATGACACAAATATACATATTTAGAAAAAAGCAAAGAATATAAAATATTCACCTTAAAAAGCTGT